TGCCGCTGTGCTGCTGGCAGGGAGCAGGGTGAACACCAAAAGGCTTTTTGTACACGGCAGCAAGCGCCAGTTTCCTCTCAGGAACACAGAAACCAAGGAGGACTCAGCCTTCTATACACAATAAAAACATAATTTTTTGCTTTTTCTTTGCTGTTCTCTGTAACTATGAACTTAGTAAAGCTTCACAGCTTTGTCTTCATTCAGTCAAGGCAAGAGACCCCCAAACCCTCTGGGGTGCAGGCAATCTCTGAGCAGCACAGCCATTCCCACTCGCCAGTGCTTATTTGTGCCACGGCCACTTTACGAAGGCGGCAGCTGCAATTCCCACACCACCACCCAGCAGCTCTTCCCAGCCAGGAGCATCCCACACGGCACAGTGCGGGGGCCAGCCAAGCCTACACGATGTACATCATCATTTTAGGTGCTTAAACAATGGACCACAATAAGATTTTTGCATACCAGAGCATTTCTGCTGGACAGTTTTCATATCTGAGCCATCTGGCATATATGTAATGAATCAGAGTTTGCACATCTCTTCAGGACAGAAGAAGAAATGACCCTCTCATAGGGGACTATAAATTAGGCTCTGACCAGTCAAATAATTGAACAAGTTTTAAATTTTTTTCATTGATGTCTGGACTTTGTATAAATGCAAAAAATACTTCTGCTACTAACCATTAGCAAAATGTAGCCTATGAATTTCAGCTGATTCAAAATACTTTCTTCCCAAGACTTCAGCTCATTTAGCCTTATGTCTTGCATTCGAGCTCCAGCCTAGCAAAGCCCTCACCACCATAAGGACCACTTCCAATGCCATTATGAAGCTTATATGTACACCTGTTTCTAGTTCAACACCAAAGCATTCCACATCTGGGGGGACAGGCCCATAGACTTCAGGCTTTTTCTCTCTAAAGCTGAAGATTAATAGACAACTAGAGTTGCTCAATACCCTATGATAATTTATTTTCTCTATGACAATCCATACTGAAGACAAGAGGGCAGGAATTGCATATACCCCAAACAACACATATCTTTTCAGAGTAAAGAAAACAGGATTAATTTATTTGATTTTGGAACAAATGTTATGGTATTTGCAAAGTCAAATGCTTCTGCTTCTTTTCAGCAAGACTAATCGCATACAGAAAAATCAAAATATCACTGAATCCTCTGTTCCTTCATACACAGTGGCTAAAGCATCTTGCAATATATAAATATAAATAGGCCTGGTAGCAAGTTTCCCTGACAACCTAGTTAACAAATAAAAATTATATTCTCTTATCATCATGCAGCATCAGATCACTGATAAAAAGACTGCAAGGGCAAAAAGAACTAGCACTGAGAAAACAAGATGTGCACTGTAACAGTTGCTTTGAAGATTACCTACCAGAAAATAAACAGCGACAAAAGACTGGAGAATGAATAGGGAGCAAGCACATGATTACAACCTTTGCAGCTTCCATCTCCATACATTTATGTCACAAAGCACACACTGGATCTGAGTTGGTGTTGCTCTCTAGTTTATATGTAAATGAATACTAAATTTAAGCAACTGTGTGAGTAAATACTAAAATATATACAATATGTACCACTTAGCTAAATTCAGTTTTATTTCTTTAGGGATACTTTTTCCACAACTGCTGTGCTGTGTTTCAGCTGGAGGACATTAATTTATCAGCAAATGTTCTTCTTAAAAACTGGACATCTCTACCTGTGATTTATATAAGTTAATATACAAACACATCTACTGGTCCTAAAGAGGCACCATCACTGCAGGAAAAAACATTTGTAAGAACACTGTCAGGCACAGAAAATTATTTTTCTTTCATGTTTCAAACTAGGGTACATTTCAGCACTTATGCGGGAGGAATTTACTTTGCAGTTCCTCTGACCCAGAAGACTGTAATAAATCAGGCACCTTTCTCATCAGCTTCTCATTCAGGTTGTCTGGTTGGGGCATAATGGTGCAATTCACACTTTTAAAATGTGTAAGAACTATTATATGTTTGCAGTTTTTTTTAAATGACCCTGTAATACTTTTTTAATTGCTCATGACAACAAGCTGGGCAGTAATTGAGCTTCCCAGCCTTTCTCAAACAGGCAGCAAACACCATCCTTGTCAGCAGAGGGGAAGTCCCAGGCTTGACAGAGAAACGGAGTGGGGACCCTCTGTCCAGCACCGCCCCAGTCAGTGCCAGGGTTGATTCTGGCATCTAGGAAGGATGGTGGTACCCAGTCCCACCAGCTACCTTCCCTGAACCCTCCCAGTGCCACCAGCAAGTGGAAATTCTCCAGCCTTTCATTTACTTACAAAAGCACCATGACAAACAGATGTCAGTAAAGATACAGCAGCATAAGTGAGGGGAGAAGCGGGCCTCTGTATCCTTCCAAGTGCCAATTAGCACAAACTGTCATGTGAATTGACCTCGATAATTTTCATTCATTCAACTCATTTTCAGTCCTGCATTAAGTTAAAAAGCTGTGTGCGTGTATGCATGTATACATTTATATTATACAGCTATATATCCCATTATTGATACCCTTGAGCCCTCCAGTTCCCACTTTCAACATAGTTTTGATGTCAATAACGCTTTAACTACCCCTGTGATCTTTTCTTCTACTTTGAGACAGTTTTGATTAAAAGACTCAACACCCATTTCCTGCTTTCTAGTCTGGATATTTCAAGTACCAATTAAGCCAATAGATGCAATGAACATGTATTATTCAAATTCTCCACAAGATGTGTCTACAGGTCACCCCTGATGAGTTTGTGCTCTGAATTTCCTTCCTTTTCTTAAATAATCCACATTTTTTTAATTGCTTTTCAAAAGCAGGTAGATAAAAACAACTCGTTACTTTGATATTTACTGAGCTTTTAACACCCAGCTGTAGCTTTAAACCTCTAAATATTTGACATTCAAAGTTACAATTAAAAGCATAACATTTTGACTGCAAGACGACCTCAGTGCATACATTTACATTCATTACTTTCAAAGTTTTTGCTCCACTAACACAACTGACTGATTAGCTCTCAAGATCCCGTTGTCAAGACAGCAACAAGGGAATGAACTGAAAAAGAGGAAGGAGCAGCAGCACAGAGACCTAGAACAGTTGAACTCCTACCCTTCCATTAAAAAGTTAATGCTACGTATTGCCTGGGGCATGGCCTTCTGCCTTTCTAGTCCCACCTGTAATACAGCGAGACTCATTTGGATAAATTTCTAAGTAACTTAAATAGATGCAGGCTCCTGAATCCATGAACCTTGACTAGAATCCAGGCATCAGCTCCCCCCTGGAAGATACTTTCCAGTGGGGTTAAAGTCATCGGCTGGCAGGTGTTAACTGAAATGCAGTCACGCTCACATCTAAGAATCATCACTGAGACAACATTTCCGAGCAATTGTTTCTACTCAGCGATATATACAGCTGACCATGACACTGGCAGACTCATCAAGGCATGATCTATGTTTTGCTGCTGAAAAATCTCACCAATTCCCACAAAGGAGTAGGGAAACCCATTATAAAAGAACCAAATTTTGCAGAAGAGGAACTGAGCAAAAACAGGTAAAAAAACAAAACAAACCAGTTACTGAACTTCAAAATGGGAATGAATAATAGATTTTTGCAGTTTACTTTTAATAAGAAAATCCTAGCAACATAAAAGTCTCATTGAAGCTTCCGAAATAACAGTATGTAATCAAGCAGGGGGAAAAAAAACACCAGCTGCATCAGTGGGACTCGGAGTTTTCCACCGTACCATAAAAGAGAGCTTAGCAGGCCTTTCTGAAAGGCGCATTTCGCTGTCCGAGACCTCTCCGCAAAGTTTACACATTACCTACCCTGGCTGTTAGAGCCAGAAAGAATAACATCATCAGATTGGTACTCGCATGAGCCTATAGTCAGCACTGACCTTCCAAGGAGAGATCTTGACGTCTGTGCTTTCTATGACTTTTTTGCTATTCCTGTATATCTATACCTATATACCTATAACATGTTGTCCTCAAACAGCCCAACTATTGCTCACAAGCTGAGGATCAGGGTCAAAAATATTTAAAAGCAGTAAAATAATTACATGACGATCTGTTAGATTTATGATATAGCTGGTCCAAATTCTACCATGAAACACAATTCTTTCAGGGAAAAAAACCACATTTAATTAGGTCTAAAATACAGCAATAATAAACAGTCTAACAAGGTTCCTCCTCTATCCATGGTAATTGTGCTTTCCACTTACCTTGTCGCAAAAAACCTTGATCTGGCAGTAGGCTCGGTGGATGGGTTTATTGCTGCGGTTATTGTAGCTGTACGTATCGATCTGAATCATCAAAGGAAGCCCTTTTACTCCTTTTTGTGAGGAGAAGTCTGTGCTCAAACAGTTCACTGTGATGAAGATCTGTGTGCCAGAGAGATTACTTTTAAAATGTGGTGCAAACAACTGTTACACTTCTGGAAACACATGACAACAAATAGCAACATAAAAGCAGATACCCCCTCCAAAAAAAAAAAAAAAAAAAAAATTGGATACAATCCACACTTTGGCAATTCATGTATTTATTCGTCACTTCTGTCCCAAGCCCGGTAAAGATTTCCTGCTCTGGGAAGGACAAACTTTTATAGCTTGTATTGATGCTTCAGTCTGGATCAGGAGTTCACATTTGAGGCAAAGCATGTGACCGTCCCAGCTTACGGTGCTTTGGTTCACACCAGAGAGGCAGAGCACATGCGTTGGATTCTTTTTGAAAGAGCCAGACCAGATGATGTGTCCTAGAGCACGCCTCACACGCTCCAGCTGCTAATGGTTGCTCAGACTGTGGGAAACGACTAAAGATTATCCGAGATAAAACCTCCTAAAACGTATCTCACGTGGAAGTCAGGTCTTTAGCCCTGACTTGTTTCACTCTACATACCTGCTCTGTATGCTTGCACTGTTTGTTAATACAGATACAGCAAGATGATCTTTCCTTATTCCTTTCCAGCTGTCTTTTGTTCTGGCTTGTTATTCTGACAGCTCACAATCTAAATTCAGTGTGGCCACAGATAAAACCTACCCTTTTTTTATTTTACAACTTCTCTTTCACACTCTCATCAGCCACACCCCTTCCTCCATCCCATCAACAGACACTCCTGATCTTCACTTTAAGGGTCCTTCACTGTCCTTGAATTTCAAAAGTGCATCTCACTTTGTCCATCTTTCAAACTGGAAGGAGTTTCTCAAACATTTATAAAACTACACCCTACCTCTCCTCAAAAGTCCTCTTTGCCACGTAGCGTCCAAGCAACTTGACACTGCCCTCGGTTCCTGGCAAGCCCTGCCTGCCTTTGCTTCAGAAATGCATCTCGTGCTTTCCTCCTACACCCACTTACATCTGTTGGTAGCCAGGAGTCACCTCCTGCCCTCTAACTGCCACCGGTACTATGGGACACTGTGTGTCTTGTCTGTCATGTGTTTGTACAGCACCTGGCAGAAGGGTCTCCCACCAGCAATTCTCCCAAGGACTATTTTGACGCAAAGCAAGCATTGTGAATTAAAATATCACTGATACCTTTCGGTCAGGACAGTGTGCATGAACCTTCAGAGATGAAACTGTATTAAAAATCCAGTTGTTCTTCCCACTGATGAATACATGCATTACATAGTAGTTTGGGCCAATTTATTGACCTGATCCTACTTATCATTTTTCCTCAGTTTAAAAATACAACAAAAACCCAGAACTTGTGAACTAGCAAAAAGGACAAAAAAACCTGCCCGTACATGCTTCCTGAACCAGGAGGATGTGAAATCCGCTCCAGGCAGAACAAGTACCCTTGGGAAAGGAAGATCTGCGAGGTCCCTCAAACAGACCAGATGCACACCTCGCCAGGCAGAGGCGAGGCCAGCATGGCCCTGGGGTCTGTGGGGATTCAGGAAGGGAAAGCTTGAAAGAACCCCTCCCCAGTCCACAAGCAGGGAAAAAAAAATTTTGGGTGACCAGAATGCTAACATTCCAAAGAGAAAGGCGGCTGAGAATAGAGCAGGGTGCCGGCAGGGGGATACTTTACCCTAATGGCAGAAGTCAACATTACAGTCAGGTTTTTTATGATGGAGCTAGAGCAGCTTGTTTGCCTGACTGAGCTAATGGCACCTCTGCATTTCTGCTTCTGATTGTATCGGAGCGCTGCATTTACAAATGAAATAGTTGAACTTTAACTGCAGCGAAAGGAGGGAGGCGGGGAAGGGCCCTAGGTGAAACTCTGATTTCGAAGGTGATAGTGTTATTTCTGTTTCAAATTACAACTCGGTCTCCTCCAGCTCCAAAGGTAAGTGTGGACACGGGTGCATATGCCTTTGAAATATGACAGCCTGAATTTTTATTTGCCTTCAGACTCCTTCACAGTGCCAGGGCAATGCCTAAAAGTGAGTGCGAACACAGAGCAGTGGAACAGGGTCTGGCATAAAACAGAATCTGGCCTTGCTATATTTTAGCCCGTACTTCTGCACAGGGATTTTCCAAACTGTACGTTAAAATGTGAGAGAGGACGTGCAGGCTTTGCATCTACCCAGCAAGTCTGTGCATCTATCACCTTCGCTGCACAGTCAGCTGAAAAGTAAAAAGAGACATTGTCCCACCTTAATCAACTACATACACTGTGTGTCGTCTCTTCGGCTGCCTCCAGAAACACGGAGCAGAGCAGAAACGGCTGGGAAGACAGACTTTACTGTTTTAAGAGTCCCCATAGAGCAATAACAGATTATTCAGCATGAATAATAGATTGATGCTGTAAGATTCAATATCCTTGTCCTGACACTGTGATACATCAGGATCTCTCTGAGGAGCAATGACTGTACATTCATGTGCATGAAGTGTACTATACTTTCTGCCACATCATTTGCACCTCACAGATAGACTGATGGCTTTGAAATAACACAGACCATTTATTTTGGGGGAAAATTTCTGTCTCCACACAATCTTCTGTTAGCTTTCCTGTAAAGCACAACACTGACTTTGGAAAACAT